CAACGTGGCATTGTTAATGCACACACCCTTTTACATCAACTGGGATTTCAAATAAAAACATTAATTGTTTTTGAATAATTTAAGCTTTCATTTATAAATATACCAAGGCATTATGAAAATTGAGTTTATCAAAAATATTTATAATAAAAGCTAATTGAATTGGAAATCATTCGAGCTGAAAAATCGATAGATGTCGAGTAGACAAGATGAAATTCGATTGACGATAATCAAGGAGAGCCGAGTCTTTTCTACTGGAATAAAATTTGGATAAAATAAAGAGAACGATATATCTCAGTCGTGTCTATTACGCAAATTTTGTAATACTATGGAAAATTAATTAAAATTGGGCTAAATACACGATAATATGATGGTTACGATGTTTAATTAAGGCTTTGTTTTTGTTACAGGCAACATTGTAGATTAGATTACAAGTAAAATATAAGTCATAAGCTTTTCTATCGAATATTTAAAATCCATTTATACAATGAAAATAGAGGAATGACATTTGAGAATAAAATAGGAGAAAAAGTGTTACACTCGACTTATTTCGTGTCTTACTCTACTAATTTCAGTGATTTTACATTTTTATTCGAATCTTCAAAGTGAACGATCTATCGGTCTATGTACTACACTTTATGCAAATATAATATTATCATCATTTTGACAATAAAATTGTACAGATTTGTACATAAAAGCTTTAATTATTATTCAGCTAAGAAATACCTATAATGTCGATAAATTAAAGAAAAGAAAAAAAATTATCATAAATTATTCTAAAATGTACATAATTGAAATTTATAAAAAATACATTATATTTAAATAATCATTATTATTATTAAATATTAATTAATAAGGACATTAGTAGTATAATATATCCTACAGTGTAAGGAAATTTAAGTTTCACTCAATATTATTATAATAAACTATTATTATATTGTTATCATTTATATTATTGTATTATAGTATTATATTATTCATCTATTATGTATATTTCTATATTTCTTAAATTTCAAAACCTACTAGAAATCGAAAATACGTTTAAGGAATTCAAAAAGATGGATTCTTTGAATATTTCAGAAATATAATAAATTTATAATGGTTCCAAATAATAAGTTTGATTCCTCGAAAGAGCAAGAGAGCAAAGATAGATGAAAAGTAAGCGAACTAAAAAAATAAGAAATTGCTTTATAAATTAAGTAGACCCTCGTAATATTTTATAGTGTTATAATACTTAATGACTTGGCAATAAAATTCATCATAATTAATGAAATCTCTTGAATGAATATGTATATGGTAGATATTTCTTCGTTTATGAAAGAAACATTAACATTTATAGTACATAAAATATCAAACTTTTTATAAATAATTACAATTCCATCCTTCTGCTCTCTTTCTCTTTTTATATTTCTTCTTCTTGATCTCAATATTTATTTATTAGAATCTATATATAAATATAGTAATAATATGCCGAGTCGAAATATCTTTCTGTTTTTGATCAAATAAAATAATTTATAATAAATAGTAACGAACCACAGGAATGCTCTGTAGCTTCTGTATTTTTTTTTTCTCGAACTATTTATGTGGCTTATGAATAGTTCCTGTACTTTTTTATTCAAGTATACTCGATCAAAATTTAATATGCATTCAGATGCTTACTTGAATTGAAAGAAAATCAATTTCGTGTCCGTACATACAGGTGTACTTATATGAAATTAAAGATATCGAGGTTAAGAAAAAGCTTTTCCTATAAAACGTTAAGCTTATAAATAGAATGTAAATGGAAAAATAGTAATATGTAAGAGAATTTAATTCTAATATGTTTTACGATGAGATTTATGTTATACGGAAAATAATTCCGTTATAATAATGTTAAATAATAATCTATCGTTAAATAATAGTTAAATAGTTAAATCATAGTTAAATAATAATAATTTTATATCATTTATATATATATATATATATATATATATATATATATATATATATATATATATATATATATCAATTTTAATCATTTTTGTATAATTTGCTGGTCTAAGCTTTAAAAATTTGTAAAAATTACTATCGCGCAATTTCATCCTATAATTCATTAAATAAAATAATTAAATGAGTAAGATTTTTTGCAAGTACTTGAGGGACTTGAGAGACTCGAGAAAATTCTTATTTCAGAAGGTTGTTTTACTTTATAACAAATAAAATTATATATAAAAAAAAAAACAAAAAATTATTTTCATAGCATTATTAATTGAAATGTAAAATTAAAAAATATATTCCTAGATAAATTAATTTTCAATTAAAGGAACAATTTAGGATTTAAACATTAAACATAAAATTCTTTATTTAATATAATCAACTGTACAAGCATATTGGTAACTATTATAAACCTAATTTCTGTTTCAACTGTTTTGTCAACAAGTTTGATGCGCGTAAAGGGGCTTTCATAATGTAAATGCACAATTAAACTATCGCCATAGTCAAATTTATGGAATTTTCTAACTTTAAATGATGTGTTACTGCCAATAATACTTACATTAACTTAATTTAACATTATTTATTAACGACAACGCTCAAATATGAAATACTTATTTATAAATTTGAAAAATAAACTTTAAGTGCTTCTAAATGCAATTTGGATAATTAAAAATAATATCTTTAATTATTAATTAATTCATTATTAATTAAACGATTTTTATATTGACAGTTTTTGTATAATTATATAATTACATAAAAGAGTTAGAAAATCTTATACAATATACATTTTCTTCATAACTTCAAAAAAAAAAAAAAAAAAAAAAAAACAATTGCTTTTATTGAGACAATTGCTAATAATTATTGAGTGCCTATTATTGCCAATCGATCACATAATTTTCGTGACTTTATCGAATTAAAAAAAAATTACAAAATAAAATTCTATCCGAATAGTCATGTTAACATTATCATGAATAGTATTTTCGAGAAAGCAATCGTGTACACAAATCACATATTCAGAGACGCGCGCGTGTAAATGCTTTTGCACCTATGTACATGAATTCTTGATACCGACAAGTACTACTACCCTATTGCAGAAAAGCTAAAAAAAATTGCAAGCCTCGCAAAAGCGTTGAGCGAAAACGAGGTTAATCGCATCGGCTCTGCCTGTCATTCTCCAATGTCATATCGCTCGCAACTCTCTAGTGACAATTTATTCAGGTGTCCGTTACAGCAATACCACCCTTAACTCAGAACCACGGTTCTCCAAGAAAATATCGCGCGCCTGTTTGTACACGTAGCTACAATGACAAACAATCCAATGACTACGTAAATAAAATAAAAGCGCAGGAGTAATTTAAGTATGAGAGAACTATGAGCTAAAGCAGACTAAAACAATACGTCATCCCTCAAGACTGAATATTCGATATTCCTTAAACGTGAAGTGAACGTAAAATAACTGGATGATTAAAATAATAGAGCAATTATTATTATTGTCAATTGCTGGCATTAAAGTTCAGAGAAATACATGTTTACTTGCATGCTTACCAATGAAATGTGAAATCGCATTCTAATTACAATACGCGTCTAATATAAAAAAAATATTGTAATTTTCAAAACGGTAATTCACAACAATAATGTCATTCAATGAATATTAAGACGGAAAGATTAAACGAATAAACGTTAATATTAATAACAACACATGGTAGAAAGAGTATAAAAAAAAAATAAATAAATAAATATACAGCTAATGGATAATCTCTGTTTCATAAATCATAGTATTACGTAGTGAAGTACTGAAATTAATAATGAAGTATAATCGAATATCGTAGGATTAACCTTCTTAAGAGATCTTAAAAGAGTAACGATATCTTATAGAAACTTTTTCATCGTAGTTTGATCATAGAATGCTATTATAGTTTGAAACTAATAATTAAATTCACTTAATTTAATTTAATTATTTAATATTTAATTATCAATGTTATCATTATATTATCACACTATCAATGAGATAGAGAAGATTGTTTCTTCGAGTATCGTAAATATTATCCCCTTGAAAAAATGTTTCGTTATAAGAAAAAACAAAACAAAAGACAAAACAAGATAAAAAACAAAACAAACAAACGAAAACGAAAAACAAAAAAAAACAACGAAAACGAAAAACCCGAAGATTATAATTTTGTTGCGTATGTGATTTGAATTCTAATTACAAAAATACATAATCAGTTTATTAATACAAAGAGCGGACAGCTTTAAGAGCTCAAAATCAAAAAGCTCCCGCGGGATGGTCGAATTGCCCCGGAGACTCTTCTTTATCAACTTACACATCCATTATTAAATACCCTTTCACGCCACTATTGACTTTAACGTTAATTTTTTTTTTTTTTTTTTTTTTTTTATATTGCACGCAATATTATCTCATAATTGCTTGTATATTGTATCTACCTTCGGAGAAATGTTATTATTATCATTTCACTCAATTTATATTATTATATTTCGATAAGCGTGTATATCCATATCTCTACTTTTCCCCGTCTCGTCTGTTATTTTTACTTATTTACCATTTCGTCAGTTCCATATGAAAATATTACAATTCGCTTATTAGTTAGATTATTTATTTTTATATATAAATCATAATTCTTACGTTACGAGTTGTTATAATTTTAATTCGCCCGAGCTTTAAATAAACTATCAAATTTTATTCAGTTTCACATCGATCCTACCCATCTAAAATAACCGATAAATACACCACCCACCACCATCACTTAACGCCCCCCCCCCCCCCTCCCCTCCCCTCCCCCCATCCTCCCCACCACCCAACCCTTTATCTAAATAAGCAACACTCCGTTTTCAAGGAATTACATGAACGCGTAAATAATAATATAGAACGTAGCATGACTGTATTGGTTGACGCGAGCACAAGGCTTTCGGCCAGCTTATCTTCGCGAATAAGAAATAAAAATGAGAAAAGGCCAGGAAGATTGGGCGCGAATAAAAACACGAGATATCTGATCGTAAACGATTTATTACAGACACGTTTGCTAGCAAGGTGGCCGCTTGCCAGGACAAGTACGCAGATGCTAGCGTAGGCAACGTGACCGGAAGTAATGCAGTAAATGTCTTCCTGGGAATCGGCATAGCATGGAGCATTGCTGCAATTTACCACGCTATCAATGGCACAACATTCGATGTCAAGCCGGGCAGGTAAGTGCAAGTGCTCGTCTTATTTGCTTTTCATTTCATAATGTGCATTATTCATGAAGTACTGTGATTATTGCGATGGCCTTGAACAAGCCACTGCTTTCATGACAATTTTATTTTATAACTCGGTAACTTTCTACCCCACTCCTTCGATATTCAATTTATTTCTATATTACGGACTTGAATTTTAAATACAATTCAAATACAATACTACCGATGTCTTTCCATTATAATAAGCTAGCAGCATCAATTTACAGGGCGTAAATTAACGATCTTAACGAACAATTAAAAATCATCCGTTACGTGGACTATTAATTATTATGCAAGAAATTGTTTTGTTTAGAAAAACTGACATGCTTGGTCGAGTGAAATTCAAGACGTTATAGCATTGTTAATTAGAGGGGCTTAACATTAAAATAAAACATATAGAATCACTACGTACATTGTACGACCCTAGCGTTATTTTATTCATTATCTCCCATTACATAATTCTTTTTACATATTATTGTCATTTACTTACTGTTATTCTCTAGAGTCATGATATTTCATTATTCAAAATTTTTTAAGAAATTTTTTTTTTAATAATGATATTGTCACGAGTCTTAAATCAATAGTCAGTCTTAAATCAAAAATATAAAAAAAATTTTACATTAAATTTTTCAATAAAGGATAAATACTAAATGAAAGATGATATGCAGAAATTCAATGAGACTAATCTTAGATTTATCATGCATGTAATTCTACTTTTAACTTTCTGTCCCCCCCCCCCCCT